CGGGTTTTTTTTTTTTTCATGTGATTGATGTGCTTTGTTGAAGTCATAGTTGAATATGTCATGCCACTTGTTGATGTTATTCTTGATTTTAATGTTTATGTGAAACAGAGGCTTTTGTTGTGGCCTCATTTTTAGTTTCTTGATTCACATGGAACAGGTCTTGTCTTCATGAGTTACTTTGTTGTGTTTTTCTTCTGAATACTCAACCATTGTATTTAAAAGCATTTCAGTTACTTTGTTATGTTGTCTTACACAAAACATCATTTTATTTGGGTATAAAATTTATTTTGTATGAAAATATAAAGTTAGGGATCCATTGTATTTGCATTGGAATATTTTGATTTACTTATTCCTGTCAACAAATAATCTCGAGAGGGTGATGTTATATATTCATTTTATTGCTATATATTCACTAGTTCATACACTATACTTTATGATCTGCAGGATGGACGACTTAAATAGTGATGATTCTCAGCCTAACCCTACGACGGAGTCGAGACATTCTGATAAGGCTGCTCGTAAAAAGAGAGGCCGCAGAGGAACGCGCCTTAAGCACCTTAGCCTAAGAAATGGGAAGACGGAAATCACTTTTGATTGTCACTTAGAGCCAAATGGGCCAACTGAAGAGCATATCAGTGAGTTCAAAAAATATATCGGCGTTTTAGCTCGGACCAAAGTTATCATTTTAGCTAGTTGTTGGATTAAGGGAGTGTCCGACAAAAATAAAGAGCAAATTTGGCAAGCTCTACTGGTATGAAATATTAATTAAATTCTTATTTAGTTTGAATTAAATAATCAAAATATTCGTTCCATGCATTTTTATGTTATAATATGTTAGTTATTTGTTACATGTGTATCCTGAATGTATATCTTAAATGTATAAAACCTCGATTTTATTATGTGTTTATAGGAGCAATTTGATATGCCCGATGAAAAAAAAACTGAAAGCTAAATGGTTAAGCTATGCTGGAGAACATTAGAGATGTTTCAAAACTAGCCTCAATAGATACATATTTGGATGTAAACAGGATGATGAGCCTCCATATGTCTACACTTACGACTTTCTTGATAAAGAGACTTGGGACGAGTATGTTGCTTCATGCATGACGCCTGAGTTTTTGGTAAGTTACTTTCTCAAATTAGTAATTTAGCTAATGTGGTTTGTAACTTTTTCATATGATAATTAAATTTTATATTATTCCAATCATACATTTATGCAGGCAAAAAGAAAAAAAAGGCTAGAAACACAAAAGAAAAACACTACTCCTCATTTATTGTCTCAAGCGGGTTATAGGGGATTAAAAAGAAAGATAATGGAGGAAAAACGCAGGGCCATGAAGGAGGCGTCAGTAGATCCCTCTGTCGTTGTGTCCCCCCCATCTCCACCCTCTCGGCATGAGTTATGGAAAAGGGCGTGGGTGAAGCCAGATGGAAAGTATACCTCTGGGGATGCTAAAATTGTTGGTGACAAGATTGTAAGTAACTATTGATATTATACATAATCTATTTGTTTTCTCCCTAGAATGAATTTTAGTTATGGTTTGTGCTCATCGCAGGATGCTTTGGAAGAACAAACCTCTCAGGGAAGCTTCAAACCTTGTGGAAGAAATGACATTTTAGCAGTAGCAATAGGTAAGGCGGAGCATCCAGGCCGTGTAAGGGGAGTCGGAAGGAGTGTGGGCAGGCATCCGGGACTTTTTCGGACCTGCTAACCGTCCATGTACAAGTACAGGAGTGGTATCAGAAGAGCAGATGAGTGTCATTGTATCTCAAGTTACTGAACAGATACAAGAGAAAATGAGAGCAGAGATGAGAGCAGAGATGAGAGCAGAGATGAAGGCAGAGCTGAAGATGATGATGGCTGGTCATCAGACAGGTAGTTCATCTATCTCTCCATTAGTCACGAGCACGAAAGGTAGTTGCGCTCCAACTACGGATGTGCACAAAGATGCTCTGAATGTGCACAAAGATGCTCCGAATGTACACAAAGATGATGAGGAATATGAGTTGTACGTGGAGGATCCACAGAGGCAGTTAGTGGCATATGGTCGTATCCACGACTTGGGGCTAATCATGCACCATCAGAAACTGAATGACGATCAAGTAAGGATTGTGGTGACTCGAGTTTTAGTTAGAGATGCACGGGTGCCTTATCCGACAGATGAGGTAACTATTGTGGCAGAAGCACCAAATCAATTCATTGCTTGGCCTAAAAAGCTAGTGGTGCAAATTATGAAGGTAAATACATTTTATAGTTACATTTGCTAAAAAAATTCTTCATGTTACAATATTATTAATCTTGTCCTTGTTTCTTTTGCATAGCATACCCAAATGGATCCAAAACCCGTAACTCAACCTGACACTGATGTTATTAAAGCCATGTGGATAGCGGTGGCTGACATTACACAGCCGATTTGTATACCATTGGAGGCAGCAATTGTCGGGACAGAAATGGATTTATATGTATATCGGAAGGATATCGTCGAGCTCTTACAAAAGCAAGAACTTTGTGTATCTATAGTGCAAGTTTTTAACATGTGAGTGTTTAACTAATTTTATCATTTTATATTGATTGTTGTATGAATTATACGCCACTAAACATTATTTTTTTATTTGACAGGTACCTGTACAAAATATTGAAGGATTCTGGGAGAGAAGGTAAGTTTGGATTGGCGTGTCCATTCTTCATCCAAAACATTGGCAACAGTAAGGAACAAGCCACAACATACATTCAAAAGAGACTTACAGAAGGAGATTTTGAATGTCTTCTTGCACCGTATCTTAGCGAGTAAGAAATAATTGTTTTCATAATATTTAACATACTATGAGTTGGAGTATAAGAAAGAAATATTAAAATTGCATATCTTATTTTGTGAAATGTCAGGGGTCATTGGCAACTAATTGTTATTAACCCGAAAAAAGGTGCGGTGGCTTGGTTCTGTTCCTTATCAAGAAAGCCCAAGACGGATTTCATGGACAAAATCAACACGTAAGTTTGAAATTAGTTTTCAACATTTTCTTTTCACATGATCTACATTTGATATTTTCTTCACTTAAATTTTAAATACAATAATCATGTCAGGGCACTAAAAGCAAGCAAAGTCATGAAAGGACACCATACTCAGAAAGTGAGGAAACCAACATGGGTTTATCCAAAGGTACATGTATTTCTTAAACCAAGTTAATATAACTCTTATGTGTTTGTGTACGATAGTATTAGTGCATTATCTGTTGGTTTCATTTGGTAATTATGAAATTATTTTTATTTTTAATTTTATTTAAGTGTCATCGACAAAATGGAGGTGAAGAATGCGGGTATTATGTTATGAGGTATATGCTGGAAATCATACTACTTGACGTTGTTGACAGATTTGAAAAGGTAATTTTGGATAATAATAAAACTCTTAGATATCGAGAGTTAGTTTTTGGATAATAATAAGTCATAGTTTTTTTACTCTTGATTTATTGTTATTTATGGTTTTTCAATTAGGTGTTTGATTTGGAAGAAGCATACTTGAAAGAAGACATTGATGATATACAGAGACGGCGGACCAAGTATTTTCTCGATATCACCTCATTGTTAAAGTAGTTGACTATATAGGATTTTGTTTGGAATATTTAGTTTATGTTGAACTATTTGAGTTTGCTAGTATTGTTGGTTATTTTTTTTTTTAGAAATGTTGAACTATTTGAGTTTGCTAGTATTGTTGGTTTTTTTTAGAAATGTTGAACTCTGTTGGTATTGAACTAATTTTGGTGAATTTATTTATTTTTATTTTATTTAGTTATATTGATGGTACATTTGGTTTCAATTAAATAGTGAAAAAAAAAAATGTCCATTTTCCACTTTTTATATCAGGTAAATAAATTTGATATAAAAGAAATTGTATCAGGTGAAAATATTACACATAGAATCTGTATCTTTTATATCGGCTAAATATGACATATAAAATCTGATTTGCTGTATCGGTTGACAATAAAACCGATATAGAAAGTTTTTCTATTATATCAGTTAAATTATTTATCCGATATAAAAAACGGACTTTCTATACAGGCGCGATCTCGAATTTGGCTTTTCATATGCAGTTATTATATGGGTTTTATTTTTAACCGGTATACAAAGTTTACTTTCTATATGGGTTATGAACCGATATAAAAAGGTTCCACTTATTATATGGTCTGCAATTATATGGGTATGAAAACCGATATAAAAAGTCATTTTTACCCCATATAAAAACCGTTTTTTCTACTAGTGTACGTTTGTAATCTAAATATAATTAGTACAATACTCGTGTATTAGACGGGTAAATATTAACATGATATTTGAAATTTAAAAATAATAAAAAATAAATATCAAATTAAAGCTCATCAAGAGATGATATGGATATATTATATATATATAAAATTATAATAAATTGAAAAATATTAACTTTTTAAAATATATATTTAAAATTTAAGTTAGTATTTTTTTTTTTTTATAATTTGAAAGAAAGACTAAGGGTATGTTTGGTAAGCCAAATAAGCTAGCTTATAACTTATTTGGTTAGCTTATAAGCTCCCTGTTTAAAATAAGTCTTGTTTGGTAGGACGAGCTTTTTTAAAAAGCTCGAGCTTATTTGATAAGCTTCTTTAGGTAGCTTTTCAAATAAACTAGTTGATTTTTTTATTCCAGCTAACTTATCAGCTAGTTTTACCAAACACTTTTATCATATAAGCTAGCTTATCAGTTATAAGTCATAAGCTATAAGCTATAAGCTAAAAAATTACTGATAAGCTATAAGCTAGCTTATCAGCTATCAGCTAGCTTATCAGCTAGTTTTACCAAACATAGCTGTGTTTAGTAAATCAAATAAGCTAGCTTATAGCTTATTTTGTTAGCTTATAAGCTTCCTGTATTTAAATAAGCCCCGTTTGGTAGGACGAGCTTATTTAAAAAACTCGAACTTATTTGATAAGTTTGTTTAGGTAGCTTTTCAAATAAGCTAGTTGAATTTTTTATTCCAACTAGCTTATCAATTAATTTTACCAAACACTTTTATCATATAAGCTAGCTTTTCAGCTATAAGTCATAAGCTATAAGCTCGAAAATTACATATAAGCTATAAGCTAGCTTATCAGCTATCAACTAGCTTATCAGCTAGTTTTACCAAACATAGCCGCCGATTTTTATTTTTTGGGCCTTATAAACCACATCGTGAATAAGAAATGAAATTATAACATAATTAATTCTCCTAGAAAGGATCATAAATATTCAATATTTTTATAGTTATTGCGGGGCTAGTTTTTTTTTT